GTACGCAGGTGTGTGTGTGTGTGTGTGTGTGTGTGTGTGTGTGTGATGAGAGAGGATGGGGGATTTGTGCGTTTCTATGTGTGTGTGTGTGTGTGTGTGAGAGAGGGGGGGGATTTGTGCGTTTCTATGTGTGTGTGTGTGTGTGGCACGTTAATACGCACTATGCATGTCTTGAGAATTTAAACGTTTCAACTTTCTTTCTTTTACTTCAAAAAAAAAAAAAAAAAATGGCACATAGAATCGACTTTTCCCATGTGACAAGTAACGCCGATGGCAAACCTAAGCGCACACAAGGTCGATAGAAGGATCCTCGTAATAAATATTAAGGACGCTCTGGGCCATAATGTAGTACCGATATGCAAGATCAACGATGTGCGTGTGTGCCAATGATAGAAGGGCCTTAATACATTCAACTCAGCTAAGCAGATGTATCGGCATGTTTTGAGAAGTTCTGCCATCAAGTTACGCTACACCTTTCTGTATCGCACCCGTCCGAGTTGTCAACCTTTCAAACTGGTACGATACAGATAACTATACTGCTCGATTTGAAAAGGGCGTGATGTATGTGCTATTGTCTACTTACCAAGTATTGAAGACGAACCGGCAAATTCCCATGGGTGTATCTCTGTGCTTTTGTCACCAACTTTGAGATCAGCAAAGTAGCCTGTAAATTATAATTAGAAATACACAATTTAGCCTGGGTACACCTCCGTAATGACGCTGCTGTGGACGGTTAACATATATTAACATATATTACGTGAGCTTAAGTATGTTTGTGCGTGCGTGCGTGACAGAGAGAAAGGGAGGGAGCGAGGGAGGGGTGGGGAAGGAAGTGTGTGTGTGAGAGAGATAGAGAGAGAGAGAGAGAGAGAGAGAAACAACACTATCTTATTGTACCTTCTAAGAACGTCTTCATGGCTTTGGACCGTGCTATCTTGTTAAGCGTCTTCCCCGAGTACGTCACCAGAGTGGGGTCCGCCCCATAAGACAGCAGCAGCCGCACGATCTCCACGTGGTCATTCTCCACGGCGTCGTGTATGGGCCTGAGACGGAGAAAATCATCATCTATATGGGCGCATTCAGTAAAAGTTGATCCACGGACTAACAGATCCGCAGATCAAATATGGCCGACCCACTTGAAAGCTTGGTGCATCATCCCCTAACAGGCACTGAATAGATTCCCAGCGGGGATTACGCGGTAAGCTGTCAAGTGGGTCGACCACACTTGATCCGCGGATGTGTAAGTCCGCGGATCTACTTTGGTTGTAAATGCGGCCTAGATATAGCAGACTGTGAAGGTGTTAAGAAAATTACTTTGCAGGAACATTCGTGTGCGTGTTTGCAAAACAGATTAAAATGGCCACTGAGCTGCTAATGTACCTTGATACCAACTTATTCATGAAGCATTAAGTACATCGGATACTCATGCCCTGATCTCAAATTGCGATAAGAAGAATCTAATATAAATATATAAATTCACCTGCCCCTGAATAAAAAAAAGTGGAATCGTAATCACATTTCATCTTTTTAACGCCGGATATCACGGCAAATTGCTCAATTCCCATCTCTAATATTTAACTCTCTTTATTTCAAGCAACACAAAAGGTCAAAGAACAGTATTCTACGTTATCTCACCGTATTCCGTCCTGTGAGCTACAGTTCACATTGGCACCGAACTCCAGCAGGTGTTTGGCTACAGACAGATTGCCTCGCACGCAGCTCTCGTGGAGCGGCGTGTACCCTGCGTTGTCCTTGGCGTTAATGTCCACCCGCTTCGTCTCCAGGCAGTGTAGAACAACGTCCTGGAACAGAGGCAGAGCATATAGTGTCGGTTATCATGTGTGACCGCACGGACGTTAAAAGAGATACCCCAAGTTTCCCGTAAGGAGCTGTACAAAGAGTTCCATTACGACGACGTGCTCTTGAAGTTACGCATGTTTAGAATCAAGGTGTATTACTTGTACTTCTTAACAGGTTACAAAAATAACTACGCAGTACCTAAGTGAAATACCAGGAATGAAAAAAACATCAAAGAAATAAAAAAGTAAAAGAATTGAGAGATTTCATATTTTTGTTAAATATTCTTCCGTCATCTACATTGATCGCCCCCCCCCCCCCCCCACACACACACAAAGGAGCAGTGCATAGGGCCTACAGTTTTGCAGAACACACGCTTTCAAGAATGCAGCTAAACAAACGGACCGCTAGTAAAATTTCTGCAGTCTAAAATCATCTTATTTTCTTATTGCGAAGCTTTTGCTTTTGTATCAGTTATACGTAAACTCTTTGTGAGTAATTCATTTACTATTTCTACTCTAACATAACATCTTTCCGCGTGGTAAAAATGTAATTATCCCAGTCTTTTCCAAACGAAGTAAAGATGCCTGAAATCAAAGGTAATTTGAGTTCACTGTGCTCTCGTTGAGAGCAAGAAAACCATCGATGATACAGGACTTTAAATGTACGTACCTCGTACCTCGTACCCCGTCAAATGTACGTAGGCCTACCTCGTAACTCATCAAGTGCACGTACCTCGTACCCCGTCAAATGTACGTACGTTGTACCCCATCAAGTGAACCTACCTCGTACCCCATCAAATGTACGTACCTCGTACCCCATCCTCGCCGCTCGGTGAAGAACCGTTTCTCCCGAGGTTTTACTACACGTCAACTTCTTCAACAGCGGAGGCGTGCGGCGGTCCTGGGCGCAGCTATCGTTAGTCTCGGCTGGCTTGTCAAACTGTTCCTCGCTCTGTGTGGTGCCGTCGTCAATCATGTCATTCAACTGCAATGGAGAGGTTTTATTTGAGAGCACGGTCTGGTATATTTTTTTGACTCTGGGATAGCGTAGGCTTGCGGAAACGGGAGTACAGCAGTTTCGATTATCGTTACCTTATTACACCACAAAACGATAGGTGGCTCCGTGATGCTCAAGAGGGGCCACACTGATTTTTTTTTTTTTTTTTACATTGACGTTTTTTTTTTTTTTTGCATTTCCTCACTCTTCATTTTTTTTTAGAAAACAAAGTGACACGTTCAACAGCCTCAAATCTATGATTAAAAATCGCATTTATGTGATATTTCGATGTTATGTCCTTTGGCCGTTTTTCACTTGATTGAAAACTATAGGCCTACTATTTCCGAAATTCCTTGACAGTGCATTCATGATTGTCTTACCTCGTCATGCAGATGAGACGGCAGGTCTTCCGACACCCCCTCGTATGCGTAGTTATCCTCATAGTAATACTCGTCTGTGTCCGCGTCTTCACATCCTGCGTAATCTATCTTTACCTCAACTTTTTTCGTGCGTTTGCTGCCACGACTTCCGGTAGACTGTTTCCCGCCGCGTTTCTTTCGCCTCCCTCTGACAGGGGAAATGTCGTCTGCGTCCACCTGCGATTCATCACCCTCATCCACCGACATTTCTGTAGATGTTTCCAGTTTTTCTTTTTCTTTGGACTGTTCTTGCTCTCGGTTTCGTTTCGCTTGACGGTTGGCCCGCTTGAGTTCCAATCGTTCTTCCTCCCGAGAAAGCTCAGCTTCGTAGGCCGCATTCTTGTTATAGCTTCGTCGTCGGATTCGTTCTGCGATAAAGGATTTTGAAAAATTACATAAAGACAGTATTGCTCGCACGCTTACTGCAGAACGGCAGGCACGTGCTTAGCAATAGACTAAGGATGCGTGTAAGCAAGTCAGATAAAATTATACGATCGCATGTAGGTACATGAAAACAACAGTAATTTAACCATCA